AAATTATGATTTCAATTTAAAAAATAATCCTAGTGGTCCTACAAATTAAGCTCTGCTTCTCAATACGCAAAATCATTTCACAGTGTAATTAGGAACTTGCTGTGAAAATGAACTAAAATCACTCACATAAAGGATGCAAAACTCTTAGAAGTGTTTAAATTGCTCTTTCTGCTGCCACCAGCTCCTCTGGGTAAGCCCAAATTACACTAACAAAGTGTTTTAAATCCAACCAATTTTAATCGGTGCTTTTAACATTCGTTGTCAACCAAGCATTCGCACAAAGAGCCGTTTCCCAAGATCGTGAGTGGAAAAGTTATTGCAAAGTCATTAATGAAAAGTTTCACCGCTGAGGGTCAAGTGTTGTGTGAGAGCGAGACAACGTTTTTGGCTCTAACTCGAAAGTCCAGCAGAAGCAGCCAGCCCTGCCTGCCCGCCTCACTCTGCCGCCCAGCTGGACACCTTTTTAATAACCCGGTCCTAGAATAAACCGTGTCCCCCGTCTTGATGATGCTGTCCTTTCTCTGCTCATTAAAGGACTAAAAGTGTCCCCTCAGGACTGGCTCACAGACCTCTGCAGACATTTCATGGAGATAAACTAGAGTGGCGTGAACTCTGACCTCACTAATGGATTGGACTGTCTGAACTTTAGTCCGAACCTCACTGCTCCGCTCTCACTCGCTGTAGCAGAAAGTGTCTCATTTTACACATGGCATTGACCCTCTCCTCCTTCCTCCTTCGTGTCGCTCTCACTTTCAAGAGTTTATTATCTAAGAATAAGTGCTGTTTCTCCAACTAAATCATAATAATAACTAAAAGTTGATTTTACTAAAAGTCCCTTGAGATCCAGCACTCAGAGTCAATTCCCACTAAATGTAGTTTAATACAAGTGTTTTCAAACATCCTGCAGACAAAAAACATAATTTTTTGTCCATATGCATAAAAATATCAACACACTGTCACGTGACAAGACTTCAGTGTATATTTTGTTTGCAGCTGTCCAATCACAGTCAGTCACTGCCAGGTAATATACATGAAGAACGTCTTCTTCTTTAAGTCTAATATACAGTCTCTAAGGAAGAGGCTCCAACATAGATAAATATAATGTATTAACTAGGGATGCAACGATACCAATTTTTTCAAACCGATACGATACCGATAC